ACCCTGCCTGTCTGGATTAGAATCCACCTACTAATCCTCTGGTGGCATCTTTTTATGCATGCATGATCCTTAATTACATGAAAGCTCTCCCTCAAACCCAGGACTCACTCACACAGAAACAGTGTATGGTAGGTACAAGTCAGTCTCTCTTGCCCCAGAGATCTCAAAGGTAGACCACAGCTTTGTGGAAACACCAGCACTCACCTCTGTGAGGTGGCTCTGAGCCATATAGAACAGACACTAGGAGGAGGGCCTTGTTTTCCTATATCAGAAAAGTTTCCCTCATTCCTCCACTCCTGATCTTTTGGGCTGCCTGGCATGACTCAATGAGGTGATTGGGTCCTGGCTCACAAGGACTCAGAATGACCCTCACCCCTCCTCCTGGGAGGGTGTGTCCACAGGAACCCCAATAGCGAGGACCTGCTCCATTGGCCCATGTTCGACCAGAATGAGCAGTATCTACAGCTGGACATCCATCCTGCCGTGGGCCAGGCCCTGAAGGCCTCCAGGCTGAAGTTCTGGACCAAGACCCTGCCCCAGAAGATCCAGGAGATCAAAGGGGCTGAGGAGAAACACGTAGAGCTCTAGTGGTCTATGTCGGGAGAACTGGGCTTGTGTGTACAAAGGGTCAGCAGGAGGTGCTCACCCATTTACCAGGAAATAGGAATTGATTCTAACATTCACTTAGCTGTTCATCCTCTCTTTTTTCTGCCAGCCACTCAACCAGCCAATCCTTATGAACACTGCCTGCATGATGTTCATGACCAACTTGCCTAAGCACTCTCTTGTTAGACACACTCAATAAATGCCCCCATGGCTGGATGAGCCCCTCTGGTGATTACTGACCTCCATTCCCCACTGGGCCTGGGCCTCTTGCTTCCTTGTTCATCTTGTCTTCACCAGCTTTGTCTGCTCCAAGACACCAGCCCCTCTTGAAATGAAGAAGAACTGTTGATCATGTTACCACTACCCCAGGGTCAAATGCCCATGTTGACCCTACAGTAGCCCTGTTTTTTTCTCTAACTTCGAAGTAGACAGCAATTAGGCCAATTTTTTTTTCTAAGTGTTTCTAAGACCCACACACATATACATACACACATGTGCACAAAGTGCTTTGTTATGGACTAGTTTATTTTCAATTAAATTCACCCATTCACCTGTATAGTTCGGTAAATCTGAACATATATATGCAACATATGTCCACTCTCATATCATGTGTTAGAATGTTTCTTTCATCCCAAGAACTTCCTTCACATTCATCACAGTTAATTTCTTCCTTTTACTTGGGTTTTTGAAAACACCAGATTGTGTTTGTTTGTTTTTTATTTCAGTACTGGGACTTGCACTCCTAAAGGCTTTGCCTTTTCACTTGGATTTTTCTACTCAATGCTAGATTTCTATCACTTGAGCCAACTTCTACTTCTTGCTTTTTCCTGATCAATTAGAACAAAGAGTCTCACTGCCTTTTCTACATGGTCTGGCTTTGAGTCTTGATCTTCAGATCTCACCATCCTGGGTTGCTAGGATTATAAGTAAGAGCCGCTACTACCTGCCCAATTGCTTTTAATTGCTATAGAGTATGGATATTTGGGAAAATAATAGCCCAATGTAGCATATCATACTAAGTGAGTTATGTGAGGCTTATACTCACTACGATTAATGTTTTTAGGATCAGGTATACATCCTTCCTTTTATTGAGGAGTGACTTCTATGAATGCACACGCCACTTTTTTATCTACAACAACGGGGTGCACATGTGAGTGTGACACATTCTTTGCTATTTTTAGCCTTTTGGTTTTTTGTTGGTAGTGATGTTTGACCCCATGGCCTGGGCACTGTCCCTGAGCCTTTATGCTTGAGGCTAGTGCTCTTCCACTTTGAGACACAATTCCACTTCCATCTTTGCTATTTTTAATCAAGTTGTTCAGGATACTTTCAAAACTAAATTTATACAAACACATACTTTCATTTGTATGGGATTCTATTCTGGGTTTTCTATTGCTTAATTGGAGATAAACATGTCATCAAATGGCTTTGAACCAAGATCCTTAGGTCTCAGCCTTTTGAGAAGTTAGGATTGCAGGTATGAGCTAGGTGCACTTGGCTCATTTCTCTGATTCTTTCTCTGTCTCTCTTTGCTTGTCTCTCTGTGTCTGTGTCTACCGCTCTCCTCTCCTCTCCCTCTCTCTTCCTCTCTCTCCCCCCTTCTCTCTCTCCCTTCCTCCCCGCCCCCCTCTGAATCTGGTGAAAGGTCCTCACCACCCAACAATTCACCAGGATAGCTGTGAGGACAGGGCATGCTATTTAGAACCAGTATCCTTTTTTTCAATTGTCTTTATTTTATTGGCAAGTAAAAAAAAAATGTATATATTTGCCATATGCAACATGATATAGCAAGTTAATATGTTATATACACAGAACCTTCTGGATTTACACAAAATTCTTTGTGATTTTGAAGACAATAAATAAACTGTTATTACCTACAAATCATCTGAATCAATTTCTAATTTTCTTCTCCTTCTCCCATACCTCTACAGCCCTTTTTTACAGTGCATATCCAGGCAAAACCATGCAATATTTTCCCCTCATACCTGTCTTTAACATAATTACCCCAGCTTCCATCCATGTCACAAAAAACAGGATTTCAGTTACATAGTATAACGTTGTGTATATTACTATGCAATTTTTTGTTGTTGTTGGTCATGGGGCTTTGACTCCAGGCCTGGACGCTATCCCTCAGCTCTTCAGCTCAAGGTGAGAGCTCTACCACTTGAGCCACAGTGCCACTTCCAGTTTTCTGGTGGTTCATTGGAGATAAGAGTTTCATGGACTTTCCTGCCTGGGCTGGGTTTGAACAGTGATCCTCAGATCTCAGCCTCCTGAGTAACTAGGATTACAGGCATGAGCCATTGGCTCCCAGCTTACTATGCAATTTTTAAACTATTCATCCAGTGATGGATACTTAGTTTAATGTTCTTTGGCTTTTGTGACTAATGCTGCAATGTATATAAAAATGCATACAACTTTTCCACATGCTGATTTGCTTTCCTTGGACTATATATTCAACAGTAAGTATGCTGAATCTTGACAATTTCATCATTTTTTGGAGAAGTTCCATATGATTCTTCCATAACTGGTGCCGTGAATGCAAGGTTTCTTTTCACCACAACCTTACCAACATGAATGTTTATTTGTACAGGTAGGAGGTGTACAGGTAAAGCCTTAATAGGTATAAGGTGGCATCTCACTGTTTTCATTAGCATTCTCTAAATGATTGTGTTTTTGTATTCATTCACCAGTTAGCCATTTGTAATTACTTCTTTTTTATACATTTTTATTGTAAAAATACTGTACAGTTAAATGAGTAAGATAATGAGTACATTTCCTATTGAGCATTGATGCCTCCTCCCTACCATCCCTTCCTTCCCCACCTCCCCACCCCCTCGCCAAACACACACACACACACACACACACACACACACAGAGTTTCCAGGGGCAGAAGCATCACATTAGTTACTTTCTTACCTGCCCTACCATATTGCACTAGCATTCTGACAAACCCTCTACAAAACCCTAACCTATAAGCAGCAGCAAATCTTTAAGCTTTACCTGAAAGCTCTGTAATAAACATGTGCTGATAGTGATCGGTCTTTGTCTATTCTCCAAACCATGTCTATGTCAAACAAGAGCACCTGCTCAGGTCTGGGTCAAAGGGTCTGGGTCAATGTCCTGGGCCAGAGTTCATTAGATTGGAGACCTTGAGTACACACAGACATTGTGGCTGAAATGCAGTTCAGAGAATATTTAGCCAAGTCATGCCAGAGGAAAAAAAGCCCTTCAGGAAGAGTACCAAGAAGGAAACCCTGTGGTGCCAGGCTGTACATTCTCAACAGTATTGGGCATTGGATGAAGAGTCAAAGCTGGTTTTCACTGGCACCACGTCCTCTGGGAAGCCAGTCTGGGCTGCAGCTCCTAGTCTCTGCTGTCTCATTGCATCCTAACAGGATTCTATGTATTTCACACACTCCCAATTACAGATCTGGCTCCCAGATTACCAGAGGCCCAGAGAGGCCTGTCTCTTCACAGTACTTTAACCAGCAAATTCCCTATAAATGGTTTTCAAGTGTATAAATGACTTTCCTTGATCACAGCTACCAGGGTAGCCACAGGTTGGGGGTGGGTAAATAGAGGGATCAGTCCTTAAGAAATGCCACAGTGGTCAGGTATCGGTGGCTCATGCCTATAATCCTAGCTACTCAGGAGGCTGAGATCTGAAAATCGCAGTTCAAAGACAGCCTGGGCAGAAAACTCTGTGAGACTTTTATCTCTAATAAGCCACTCAGAAAACCAAAAGTGGTACTATGGCTCAAGTGGTAGAGCACTAGCCTTGAGCTGAAGAGCTGAGGGACAGCACCCAGGCCCAGAGTTCAAGCCCCACAACTGACAAAAAGAAAAAGAATTCCACAGTGACAAGTAGGTTTAAATGCACCAGTCATTCCTGAATAAGTTGGGTCCATGAAGACTCTCACGCTATGACTCTAAAGGATGAGGAATCTTGATGGAGAATTGGTAATCTATGAACAATGAGTTCAAGTCTGCTCAAGTGCTCACCTTTGTCCCATAGAAGGTAGGGGAGGGGGGACATTGGCCATCTGTGGGATTCTAAGCCTGCTTCTCCACAGACCATTCCTGAATTTCTCCATTACACAACCTTCACCTCAGTGACAGTTCTCTGCATCTCAAGGGCTGCAGAAGACAAACAATACCTCTGGAAGAGGCAAAGAGAAAGTAGGAGAAGGGAAAGCCTCACACCCAGAGTGCTACCACTGACTTCCTGTGACCTCTGCCCCTTTCAGTGCCACTCACTTGCAGGAACAACCTTGCCCAGCCTCTCCTATGTCTCTGCCTATTACCTGTCAGGTCCAAACTCCTGGCTGGGCAAGGTCTAGGTGAATTGTGCCCGTTGGTGAGTTGCAGTGTGCTGTCTCACAGGAGAGACAGCCATGCTGCTGGACCAACTTCCTGCTGAGCTGACCACAGTGGTATATGGGTTCCTGCTTCTTCCATTCCAGATCCAGGGTAAGATTCCTGCAGAGGATGGGTCGGGAATATAGGGACCAGGGTGAGATCTGATACATTGTGTAGAGCAGAGTTTGATGTTGGAGCAGGGAGGGATGAAGGGACAGGTAGAGATGACAGATAATAGTGTGGGAAAATTGCGCTACATAAGGCGCCACTAAATGTCTAGAGTGGTGATCATATAGGTCAGAGAGGGTCATAGATGCCTGAGGACACAAAGGAGTGAGCCCAATATGAAAGAGTCTGAGGTGCACTGACACGTGCCAGGCAGACTCAAGGATTCTGGACATTTCCTTCCTCTATGTGTTGGTGTAGCTATAGCTGTAACTGCTACTAAATCTGCTCATGCAACTGTCATTCACACTATCTTCTGTCCCTGAATGGGGCTCCTTCATCACCAGGGAAGCATCTTGGCATGGTCTAATAGGACCTGGTTTCTGGTTCTGGAAGAGCTATACCTCCCCAGAAACACATAATAAACTTGAACTGAGATGCCCCTGAGTTATTTCACCTATCTATGAATTCTGAGCAATGGCTTGGCTTGGCTTCTATGGCAAAGGGAATATGCCCTGTGCCTGCCACAGACTTCCCAGGACCTCTTCAGAGTTCATACCCCCAGAGAATTCTATCCAGAAATGTATGTGCAATCTTTGATTCCCCTTACCCCAGACCAAGCCGGGATGGGCCCTGATGAACTCTCCTACCCTCTCCTGTTTAACCTGCCCTAAGTTTCCTCACCTCACCCATGGCCTAGTCCTACCAGATTCATTCCCTTGCCTGCTCTTGATCAAGCTGTGGCTGTGATTCTGAGATAATGAGTCCAAGATAACAACTGTTTATATCAGCAAGAACTGGTCATGAAAATCTTGTTATCCAGAGACCTGGGATACAAAATCTGTTCATTCAAGGGTCACTTTTTGCCTCTGCATAGCTAGCTTCTCATACCATTTCATGAGGGGCTTGAAGCAACATGCAAGTAGCTGGTCTCTAACAGGAACCTATGAGCAATGCTTATCCTTTTCTGAACATGAGTGGCCACAGTAAGGTCCAAGCTCAGAGTTCCTATGCAGCTAAAAACTCTGTGGAGACAACACGGAGATCAGTGGTGTGTCTCTAGACTTGGAAAGATATTGGGAAGTTGATGTCAATGGTGTCTATTTATGGTTACTATCTTGGCTTCAGCCATACCAGGTGATATGAAACTTTACGATTCACAATTAGCTCCTGGAGAGTTCTTAAGGCGAGGAGCTTTGTGAATTTCTGCAACCTGAAGGTGATACTGAGAGACAGTTCCAATGGAGGTGGATTGGTACTGATAACAAAATAGCCAGAGATTGTGGGCCTGGTTGGCTGTCTCAAAACACCTGAAGGAGCAGGCATTTTGGGGCTACCAAATGTGAGCACACATGAAAGGATTCTGTCTGAAGGTAGGAAAAAGAATTCAATGTATGAGCATCCACTTAAACAAGTATCATGATTACACAAGCCAGGTTGATGTGGACCATAAGATGATTTCCAGTGGCCTCCTTCCTCCTTGGTCCCCAACACAAGCAAACCAGGGATTTCATGATGTGATCAGACTCTGTGACTCTCTCCTTGCAGCCCTCATTTCTTCTTGACATTTTCATTACCTCCAGTGTGAGTTTTCTGAGAATTGGAAATGTTCAGTCCAATCCTCAGAATCCAGCTAGTGTCTTGTAAAACCTGTTAGGTCACTGGAATTGATGCTTATTCTCCTATCACCCAACACCCAAGCTAGAAGCTCCTAGGGCTTAATGATGGTGCCAAGATCCAAAGAACCTTAGGGAGCCTGCCTGGTAGGAAGATCTGGGTCAGGTCAGTGAAAACAGTGGTGTCGGAGCACAGTCATGCAGGCAGAATGTATGTGAAGCCATTGAACCTGCAGTCAGAGGACCTTGCCAGGCTGAGCTCTGGGTGGCATAGAGCCAACAGGAGCCACAATGTGAGTGGCAGCTGATGGGGCCAACCCATCCTGATGTGCATCCCTCCACCCACAGGCCAGGGTCTAGCCAGCCCCATCAGGACCACACAATACGGGCAGGTGTGGGGCAGCCTTGTCCATGTGAAGGACGCCAATGTGAGAGTCCACACCTTCCTGGGCATTCCCTTTGCCAAGCCACCTGTAGGACCACTGAGGTTTGCCCCTCCAGAGCCCCCTGAGCCTTGGAGTGGTGTGAGGGATGCCACCTCCCACCCTGCCATACAAGCTTTTGTAGGTGAGAATCTCTGGGTAGGATGGACACCCTGGACTAGGCTCAGTGTTTCTTCCATGTAAACCCCACATTCCTTCTGCATTGCAGCATTTCCCATGTCAATTTTTCCAATGTATTTGCTGGAATTCAGTGTGTGGAGCAGTTTTGCCAGGCTCATAGCTCTGGCTTTGCATATGAACAGTGCTAGCACCAGGTGCTATAGCACAGAGATATACTTGTGCCATGACTTGTTTCATGCCAACTGTTCTCTGCTACCAGGGGAGGTGTCCCTGGGAAAGATCCATCTTGGCTGGATGGGCCTGACAAAGCTCCTGGTCCGGCAGCAGATGCTACAGATCCCTGAGGAGGGCAGCAGTGGGGGTTCCTTGGGGAAGCCAAGCTCCACACTCACTGTGCCTACTCAAAGGACCAGGTGCCACTAGTCAAGGAAAAATGTATGTGCTTCCAACTGGAGCCATGTTGAAAGGAGTGTGGTTCCCTTGGTGTTTGGATTTGGATTTCAGCAATTTCCTACTACCCTATGTATAACTGAAGTCCATTCAGTCATACTACGCTGGTGAGGTTGAAGTAACCCTGGCCAGGCTTTAATTGGCACAGATAGAAGGCATAAATGCCAATCCTTGCACCCAGTGATCCTAGAAGAATCTATGAGTTATGATTTCCCAGCCAAAGGAGGAGAGAAATCCAATGCAACCAACAGAGTGAAGGCTTCCTGGAAGTCAGAGCTCCATCATAGGTTGAAATGGAGATCCTTATGCATCCCAAGCCTGTGGCCTGCTCATTGGTTGGAAGACACATATATAAACAGGGCACCAGTGCAGCAGAAGTTCACAGTAGCTGGGAACAAATCTAGCCTCAAAGTTAGATTTTTGACCAGGAGAAAAACGCTGGAATAATTGTCTTCTATTGTAACCAGGTGTCTGCAAAATTCTGATATAATGAATACACAGAAGATGGTGAAGCTAACTATACCTTCTTTTTCCATGTCTAAAGACTGACTTTATCTCAACATCTATTCACCTGCCAGTGCCCAGGAGGGCCCTAACCTGCCTGTGAGTGTCAGAACTTGGTTGTGCTTTGTTGGAGAACATTTCTTCTGAAAGACTCTCAGAACATTTCTTCTGAAAGACTCTCAGTAGTGACAAAAACAACCTGGATTGTGGGGCAAGGTGGATCATAATGAGGTTTCATTATCAGATTCCAAACACTATTTGCAAGATAGGGTGGCTAATGAATGATAGGAGATGCAATTCCTAACTACTCCCATAGATTAAAGGCCTTGGTTCTTTAATCAAACAAGAAATCATTTGACGAACCTGAGGAACCTAAGTGCTGAACTTTGAGAACACCCAAATTTTGAATTATCTATTTTGCCAATGCTAGTATGTGATTCTTTTTGATTCATATTAAAATGAAACAATCAGGAAAATGCACTTTCCTTTTCCCTTTAGATGGGCAACAGAGTACAGACCAATACTTCACTCTTGGAGCCATTAATTTAGACTTGGATTCCTGGAGTGGACCTCAAGGCTAGTGATTGAACTTGGAGCTTTTACCCAGGGCAATGTTCAGGAGGTCCTGAGGGAATTCTATGTTGGCAACTTCCCACAGCCAAAGCCATGGACACTGTAATGGACTTGAGAGGTAGGATTGGGGCTGAATGAGAATCGATGGCAGCTGTTTTGACTTTCCCAGGTGAAGGTGTGGGTCCATGGTGGTGCACTGGTTGCAGGTATGGCTGCTGTTTATGATGGATCCAGGCTGGCAGCAATTGAAGATGTGCTGGTGCTCACTATCCAGTACTACCTGGGAATCCTGGGCTGCTTCAGGTGAGCCTTGGATTGAGCTGGGCAGGGCCAAGCAGAGCCGGGATGGCCCTGTGACCCTTGTCTCTGCCACTTCTCAGCACTGGAGACCAGCATGCCACTGGAAACTGGGGCTTCCTGGACCAAGTGGCCGCCCTACGCTGGGTCCAACAGAATATCGCCCACTTTGGAGCAACCCCAACCGTGTCACCATTTTTGGCGCATCTGCAGGTAGCATGAGTGTGTCCTCACATGTTGTGTCCCCCATGTCCCAAGGACTCTTCCATGGTGCCATCATGGAGAGTGGGGTGGCCCTGCTGCCAGAACTCATCTCCAGCAACTCTGAACCAGTCTCCTCAGTGAGTGTCCTCAGCTGCTCTGGTCCAAACCCCCTGTATTTCCCCTCACGTAAGAGCCCATGGTTCACTCTGCTTGCTTGGGACAAAAAGGACCATGAAGATAGCTTGGGAACTTCTCGGGAATTGCATCCACACCTTTCAGCCTCACAGAGGTTGAGTGTGGTCTGTGGCCAGCAAGGCTATACCCAGATTCTCCCACATGGACATAACCATGTAAGCGGGGGAGATGAACCCTCCAACTAATGTCCTTGAGCATCATGAGAGTGGGAACAATTCATACCTACAGCAATCCACACTGTAAACCCGAAGAGATTTGGAGTAACTTACATCAGTCTGGGTTTGGGAAAACCTCTCTTGCTACTTCAGAGGGTAAGGCAGATGCTGCCAGGTTGCTTTCCAGATGGTAACCAACCTGTCTGCTTGTAAGCAGCTTGACTCAGAGGCCCTGGTGCACTACCTGTGTGGCAAAAGTGAAGAGGAAATGGTGGCTGTTATCAAAGTCAGCCTGAATGGTGGGAGTGTTAGACAGGCAGGCAAAACCTGCCCAATTCTCCATGGGAAAAGGAATACAGGGGGTGAATCACCAGTCCTAATACTCTGAA